TATAGTATGGGGTCCCGTGGCATAGTATGGGGTCCAGAGGCATAGTATGGGCTCCCGTGGTATAGTATGGGGTCCCGTGCCATAGTATGGGGTCCCGTGCCATAGTATGGGCTCCCGTGGTATAGTATGTGGTCCCGAGGCATAGTATGGGGTCTCGTGCCATAGTATGGGGTCCCGTGCCATAGTATGGGGTCCCGTGGCATAGTATGGGGTCCCGTGGCATAGTATGGGGTCCCGTGCCATAGTATGGGGTCCCGTGGCATAGTATGGGGTCCAGAGGCATAGTATGGGCTCCCGTGGTATAGTATGTGGTCCCGAGGCATAGTATGGGGTCCCGTGGCATAGTATGGGGTCCCGTGGCATAGTATGGGGTCCCGTGGCATAGTATGGGGTCCCGTGGCATAGTATGGGGGTCCCGTGGCATAGTATGGGGGTCCCGTGGCATAGTATGGGGGTCCCGTGGCATAGTATGTGGTCCCGAGGCATAGTATGGGGTCCCGTGCCATAGTATGGGGTCCCGTGGCATAGTATGGGGTCCCGTGGCATAGTATGGGGTCCCGTGGCATAGTATGGGGTCCCGTGGCATAGTATGGGGTCCCGTGGCATAGTATGGGGTCCTGTGGCATAGTATGGGGTCCCGTGGCATAGTGTGTACTGGTGTAGCGGGTCTACAGGATATAAGAGATCTAGTCACCAAGGATTAACACCTTGATCCTGGGTATAAAGAATTACTGTGCAAAAAAAAAGAGATAGCATATGGAGGAGGATTTTAAATCCAGTTAAACTTAAAATCATTATTATATGAGTTGTGTTCAGTTGTATTGATGCAAGTTAGGCCCTAAATCTACTGACGTATAAGGCTGAGGAGGCTGTGAAAATTCATAATTTAATGGTATAGTATAATTTAATTTATGTTAGTTATCCTTCAAATTTAATGCCTCGAATATAGTTTTCTGTTTTAAATTTAAACTCTTTGCTAGAGTCACCTAGTTGTACTCATCTAGTTGTGCTTGCGGGGTTTTGAGCTTTGGCTCTTTGGTCCCGCCTCTCAACCGTCAAACAACTGATTTATAGATTCCTGAGCTTACTGGGCTCTGTCATATCTACATTTGAAACTGTGTATGGAGTCGGCCTCCACCACATCACTGCCTAGTGCATTCCATTTATTAACTACTCTGACACTGATAAAAATTCTTTCTAACGTCTCTGTGGCTCATCTGGGTTCTCATTTTCCACCTGTGTCCCCTTGTTCGTGTCCCACCCGTGCTGAAGAGTTTGTCTTTGTCCACCCTGTCACTTCCCCTGAGAATTATTGTGAACTACTACCGTTCTCTTCACTACTGCACAGTGTTTCACCAATATATTTCACCAGTCAAAGTGGAATTTACATGTTTTTTTTTATTTTTCTGAAAATGTGAGTTTAATATTCACTGATGAACACTCTTCCTGTTCAGCCAGAATGGTGAACAATGGTGTACGTTTTCGCGAGTAAAGCTTCTCAGTCTGTACAGTGTAGTGAACTTCAGCTGTGTGCTGTACAGTGAACATAGTGAGTATAGTGTTACGGATCTTGCTATAGTGCATATGTGCCGGGTTATAGTGTGCATATCCATACATGAATCCTACGATAGTAGCAAAGAATATCCATGTATATATCCTACGATGCTAACAATGAATATCCACATATGTATCCTACGATACCAATCAAGAATATCCACATATGTATCCTACGATACCAATCAAGAATATCCACGTACATAGACTACGATAGCAGCCTTCAATACCAGGCTGTCACCCGCTGTTTAGCAATTATTACATATAATAATAATAAAAAAAGCCCCCCCCCACCAAAACTGGTGGAAACAGATGAAATAAGACACCCGTTGGCGCCTCCGTTATTCCCGTTGGTCTCAGCTGATAGCTATTGAAGGCCGTAAGGGTAAATGATCGTAAAAAGCAAAGTGCGGAATAAAACGTTTGCCGTGTCCATTGGCTGTAAGTGCTGTTGCATACATCATGTAGAACATTTACAGACATGGGGGCTTAAAACAGGTTATACAATAATTGTATGTGTAAATTAAGCTCGGCACGAGGTGGGGGTGTTACACAACCAGGTGTAGGCTGCCTGGGAGGTGCTTCGCTGCTCACATTATGTGTAGAGATTTATTTAATGTGAAGTTTGTATTTTTTTATAGTGTTATTATGTGTGTGTACTCACCTAATTGTACTCACCTAATTGTGCTTGCGGGGGTTGAGCTCTGGCTCTTTGGTCCCGCCTCTCAACCGTCAATCAACTGGTGTACAGATTCCTGAGCCTATTGGGCTCTATCATATCTACATTTGAAACTGTGAATGGAGTCAGCCTCCACCACATCACTTCCTAATGCATTCCATTTGCTAACTACTCTGACACTGAAAAAGTTCTTTCTAACGTCTCTGTGGCTCATTTGGGTACTCAGCTTCCACCTGTGTCCCCTTGTTCGCGTCCCACCAGTGTTGAAAAGTTCGTCCTTGTTTACCCGGTCGATTCCCCTGAGGATTTTGTAGGCTGTGATCATGTCTCCCCTTACTCTTCTGTCTTCCAGTGTCGTGAGGTGCATTTCCCGCAGCCTTTCCTCATAACTCATGCCTCTTAGTTCTGGGACTAGTCTAGTAGCATACCTTTGGACTTTTTCCAGCTTCGTCTTGTGCTTGACAAGGTACGGGCTCCATGCTGGGGCCGCATACTCCAGATTGGTCTTACATATGTGGTGTACAAGATTCTGAATGATTCCTTACACAGGTTCCTGAACGCCGTTCTGATGTTAGCCAGCCTCGCATATGCCGCAGACGTTATTCTCTTTATGTGGGCTTCAGGAGACAGGTTTGGTGTGATATCAACTCCTAGATCTTTCTCTCTGTCTGTTTCATTAAGTACTTCATCTCCTATTCTGTATCCTGTGCCTGGCCTCCTGTTTCCACTGCCTAGTTTCATTACTTTGCATTTACTCGGGTTGAACTTCAACAGCCATTTGTTGGACCATTCACTCAGTCTATCCAGGTCATCTTGTAGCCTCCTACTATCATCCTCTGTTTCAATCCTCCTCATAATTTTTGCATCGTCGGCAAACATTGAGAGGAACGAATCTATACCCTCTGGGAGATCATTTACATATACCAGAAACAGTATAGGTCCGAGGACTGACCCTGCGGGACTCCACTTGTGACGTCTCGCCAATCTGAGACTTCACCCCTCACACAGACTCGTTGTCTCCTGTTGCTTAGGTATTCCTCTATCCACCGGAGTACCTTCCCTCTCACTCCAGCCTGCATCTCCAACTTTCGCACTAGCCTCTTGTGTGGCACTGTATCAAAGGCTTTCTGACAATCCAAAAATATGCAGTCTGCCCACCCTTCTCTTTCTTGCCTTATTTTTGTTGCCTGGTCGTAGAATTCAAGTAACCCTGTGAGGCAGGACCTGCCATCCCTGAACCCATGTTGATGCTGTGTTACAAAGTTCCTTCGCTCCAGATGCTCCACTAGTTTTTTTCGCACAATCTTCTCCATCAGCTGCATGGTATGCAGGTTAGGGACACTGGCCTGTAGTTCAGTGCCTCCTGTCTATCCCCTTTCTTGTATATCGGGACTACGTTAGCTGCTTTCCAAATATCTGGCAGTTCCCCTGTTGCCAGTGATTTGTTATACACTATGGAGAGTGGTAGGCTCAGTTCTCTTGCTCCTTCCTTTAGAACCCAAGGGGAGATTCCATCTGGGCCTATAGCCTTCGTCACGTCCAACTCTAGTAAACACTTCCTTACTTCCCCACTGGTAATCTCAAACTCTTCCAGTGGTTCCTGGTTAGCTATTCCCTCACTTACCTCTGGAATTTCTCCTTGTTCTAAGGTGAAGACCTCCTGGAATTTCTTATTCAATTCCTCACACACTTCCTTGTCATTTGTAGTGAATCCTTCCGCCCCTATCCTTAATCTCATAACCTGTTCCTTTACTGTTGTTTTTCTCCTAATGTGGCTATGCAACAATTTAGGCTGAGTCTTTGCCTTGCTTGCGATGTCATTTTCGTATTGTCTTTCTGCCTCTCTTCTCATCCTGACATATGTGTGTGTGTGTGTGTGTGTGTGTGTGTGTGTGTGTGTGTGTGTGTGTGTGTGTGTGTGTGTGTGTGTGTGTGTGTGTGAGTGTGTGTGTGTGTGTGTGTGTGTGTGTGTGTGTGTGTGTGTGTGTGAGTGTGTGTGTGTGTGTGTGTGTGTGTGTGTGTGTGTGTGTGTGTGTGTGTGTGTGTGTGTGTGTGTGTGTGTGTGTGTGTGAGTGTGTGTGTGTGTGTGTGTGTGTGTGTGTGTGTGTGAGTGTGAGTGTGAGTGTGTGTGTGTGTGTGTGTGTGTGTGTGTGTGTGTGTGTGTGTGTGTGTGTGTGTGTGTATGATGGTTTGGTGGTGGTTGAGGGGGTGGGTGGTATTAGAGATGGGAGAGATGGGTTTGAGGTTGTGGTAGTGGTGTTTTTGGTTTTTGTGGTGATGGTTGTGGTGGTGGTAGTGGTGGTAGTGGTGGTAGTACTCCAACTGGTACTTACCTATCAGTGAATACGGAGAGTGGGGTCTAGCTCTTTATACCACACCCACTAGCTGCTGGTGGTGGTAGTGGTAGTGGTGGTGGTGGTGGTACTGGTGGTGGTGGTGGTGGTGGTAGTGGTAGTGTTGCTGGTGGTGGTGGTGGTGGTGGTGGTGGTGGTGGTAGTGTGCTAGTGGTGGTGGTGGTGGTGGTGGTGGTGGTAGTGTGCTAGTGGTGGTGGTGGTGGTGCTCCACCAACCTGTCGACAAACCCCCACTTGAATATACAAGCAGCAGATTGCAACCATTACATAGTTAATGAAAGCGTCGCCTCGCTAACAGCGGCTGCCAGTTTTTCATAAATCTTTTAATATGACAATGAAATCTTTTCAGATTTAAGTAGAGAAAAATATCAGCTGTTAGAAGTGTTTTAGTTTTGTATTGGTGATCCCAGTACCTGTGTTGGTGATCCCAGGACCTGTGTTGGTGATCCCAGGACCTGTGTTGGTGATCCTAGGACCTGTGTTGGTGATCCCAGTACCTGTGTTGGTGATCCCAGGACCTGTGTTGGTGATCCCAGGACCTGTGTTGGTGATCCCAGTACCTGTGTTGGTGATCCTAGGACCTGTGTTGGTGATCCCAGGACCTGTGTTGGTGATCCCAGGACCTGTGTTGGTGATCCCAGGACCTGTGTTGGTGATCCCAGGACCTGTGTTGGTGATCCTAGCACCTGTGTTGGTGATCCCAGGACCTGTGTTGGTGATCCCAGGACCTGTGTTGGTGATCCTAGCACCTGTGTTGGTGATCCCAGGACCTGTGTTGGTGATCCCAGTACCTGTGTTGGTGATCCCAGGACCTGTGTTGGTGATCCCAGGACCTGTGTTGGTGATCCCAGGACCTGTGTTGGTGATCCCAGGACCTGTGTTGGTGATCCCAGGACCTGTGTTGGTGATCCCAGGACCTGTGTTGGTGATCCTAGCACCTGTGTTGGTGATCCCAGGACCTGTGTTGGTGATCCTAGCACCTGTGTTGGTGATCCTAGCACCTGTGTTGATCCTAGCACCTGTGTTGGTGATCCCAGGACCTGTGTTGGTGATCCCAGGACCTGTGTTGGTGATCCCAGGACCTGAGTGTTGGTGATCCCAGGACCTGTGTTGGTGATCCCAGGACCTGAGTGTTGGTGATCCAGGACCTGTGTTGGTGATCCTAGGACCTGTGTTGGTGATCCCAGGACCTGTGTTGGTGATCCCAGGACCTGTGTTGGTGATCCCAGGACCTGTGTTAGTGATCCTAGCACCTGTGTTGGTGATCCTAGGACCTGTGTTGGTGATCCCAGGACCTGTGTTTGTGATCCTAGGACCTGTGTTGGTGATCCCAGTACCTGTGTTAGTGATCCTAGGACCTGTGTTGGTGATCCCAGGACCTGTGTTGGTGATCCCAGGACCTGTGTTGGTGATCCTAGGACCTGTGTTGATGATCCCAGGACCTGTGTTTGTGATCCTAGGACCTGTGTTGGTGATCCCAGGACCTGTGTTGGTGATCCCAGGACCTGAGTGTTGGTGATCCCAGGACCTGTGTTGGTGATCCCAGGACCTGAGTGTTGGTGATCCCAGGACCTGTGTTGGTGATCCCAGTACCTGTGTTGGTGATCCCAGGACCTGTGTTGGTGATCCTAGGACCTGTGTTGGTGATCCCAGGACCTGTGTTGGTGATCCCAGGACCTGTGTTGGTGATCCCAGGACCTGTGTTAGTGATCCTAGCACCTGTGTTGGTGATCCCAGGACCTGTGTTGGTGATCCTAGTACCTGTGTTGGTGATCCTAGCACCTGTGTTGGTGATCCCAGGACCTGTGTTGGTGATCCCAGGACCTGTGTTGGTGATCCCAGGACCTGTGTTAGTGATCCTAGCACCTGTGTTGGTGATCCCAGGACCTGTGTTGGTGATCCTAGCACCTGTGTTGGTGATCATAGGACCTGTGTTGGTGATCCCAGGACCTGTGTTGGTGATCCCAGGACCTGTGTTGGTGATCCCAGGACCTGTGTCAGTGATCCTAGCACCTGTGTTGGTGATCCCAGGACCTGAGTGTTGGTGATCCCAGGACCTGTGTTGGTGATCCCAGTACCTGTGTTGGTGATCCCAGGACCTGTGTTGGTGATCCCAGGACCTGTGTTGGTGATCCCAGTACCTGTGTTGGTGATCCCAGGACCTGTGTTGGTGATCCCAGGACCTGTGTTGGTGATCCCAGGACCTGTGTTGGTGATCCCAGGACCTGTGTTGGTGATCCCAGGACCTGTGTTAGTGATCCTAGCACCTGTGTTAGTGATCCCAGGACCTAACACTTCGCTTATCCCTGACACCTAACTAATCACTGACTAACAAACCCCTGACACCTAACTAACCCCTGACACCTAACTAACTCCTGACACCTAACTAACCTCTGACACCTAACTAACTCCTGACACCTAACTCCTGACACCTTATACACTAATACATAAACAAGCTAAATTAAACTAATTATCTCCAACGAGCAGCAGCAAAATACACAAACAAAAAAATTCCTCTGTGCAAATTCCTGAAAAAAAAACTAGCAAATTCCACCAGACATTTTAACATACACTAACTGGCGCGAAGCTTTAAATTAACCAAATTTAATTACATCGAATATTATATTCCATACAGGAAAAAAATGTTGAAAATGCTTCAAATTAAAACAGGCTACGATTCGTAGCTGTCAAGTCCGGATATACAGGCACTGGCACTCTGGATATACAGGCACTGGCACTCTGGATGTACAGGCACTGACACTCTGGATGTACAGGCACTGGCACTCTGGATATACAGGCACTGGCACTCTGGATGTACAGGCACTGGCACTCTGGATATACAGGCACTGGCACTCTGGATGTACAGGCACTGGCACTCTGGATATACAGGCACTGGCACTCTGGATGTACAGGCACTGGCACTCTGGATATACAGGCACTGGCACTCTGGATGTACAGGCACTGGCAATCTGGATGTACAGGCACTGGCACTCTGGATGTACAGGCACTGGCTCTCTGGATGCACAGGCACTGGCACTCTGGATGTACAGGCACTGGCACTCTGGATGTACAGGCACTGGCACTCTGGATGTACAGGCACTGGCAATCTGGATGTACAGGCACTGGCACTCTGGATATACAGGCACTGGTACTCTGGATGTACAGGCACTGGCAATCTGGATATACAGGCACTGGCACTCTGGATATACAGGCACTGGCACTCTGTATATACAGGCACTCTGGAGATACAGGCACTGGCACTCTGTATATACAGGCACTGGCACGCTGGATATACAGGCACTGGCACTCTGGATGTACAGGCACTGGCACTCGGTATATACAGGCACTCTGCAGATACAGACACTGGCACTCTGGATATACAGGCACTGGCACTGTACATACAGGCACTGGCACGCTCAATGTACATCTCCCACCACCTGCAGAAACAACACGTCCTAAACATGATGCATATACAGCATGTCCCAAAAATTGCGAAGTGAGCCTCTCTTATTTCGCCATATTCTCCATCTCATGCATGTTGCATGTCCTTGTATCCGGGTCATAACCCCGCTGTCCTACTGCCAATACTCTGATGCCTGACCTTCACCTAGTGGACACTCGCCATGTTTACAATCTCTGCAATACATTGGTGGCGGCATTCATTATATATGCGGATGTCATATACGTAAAGTTGGGAAGTGTTGAGATAAAAAAAAATTTATGGTCGGCATCTATTAGTAGTCATCGTTATGACCAGTGAGGAACTAGTTCTGCCGTTAGCTGCTAGTGGTGCTCCGTGGATCACACACACACACACACATGGTGGTATAGTAAACCGACCGGTTCCAGATCCTTAGGCTAGGCTTGAATTCCACCATAAGTTATGATCAAGAGAACCAACCCGTTAAAAATACGACGCATTAGTAAAAAATAACACACCGTAATATTGACTTTTTCTATGCGAAAGCCAGAATATAGTAAGTTGGTGGCTTGGGTTCAAACTGTTGCATTTCTTAAGTTTCTGGCTTGGCAAAATATTTTTTTTTTTTTTACGTTTCTGGTAAGGGAAATCAATTACATATTTTTTACATAATGGCAAATCGAAACAAGAGGCTGTGATTATCGACATAATGCACTGTGTGAAGTGTCTGGGAATCCACTACTCCACCTGTTTAACAAGTCATTCCTCAGTGGAGTGTTGCCCACACAATGGAAACACGTAGTAATTGTTCCCATACCGAAGCCCAATGACCCTTTCAATTGCAGCCTTATCAGTCTCGTGTCATGCACTTGCAAGATGCTTGAAAGGATCTTCCTAAACCGACTGTTGCATAAAATAGGAAGGCTAGGTGAGGAGGTCAATGGATTTGTTAAAGGACGGAGCACAGCCAATTGTATAGTTAACTACTTGGCTAATGACACGGCCAGGTACTCTGTATTTGTTGACATCAAAGGAGCCTTCGACAGAGCACAGGGGATTGCGATCCTGGACGAGCTTGCATGCATGGGTGTCAAGGGAAGACTCATGAAATGGGTTGAAGACAACCTCACAGGAAGGAAAGCCAAGGTCTGCTTCAATGGAGCAGTCTCAAGAACAATGAGTATGGAACTCGGTACCCCCCAAGGAGGAGTCTTAAGCCCCACACTATTCAATGTACTTATGAACGCCATTGCAAATATTGATTTTCCGGAAGGGACGCAACAAGTGGGGAATGCAGATGATGTCCTAATACAAGCCCCAACCTTGGGAAAAATTAAACAGTCTATTGAAGTCCTTGGATGGAAATGTGTTGAACTCGGTTTCACTTTCTCCACAAACAAGACAAAAGCATTCTCTCATCACAAGCGCGGTGGGGGGGGGGGGGCGGCAAAAGAAGAACTATAAATTAATGGTGTAACACTTGAATGGGTTGACCACTATCGGTACCTTGGAGTCACTGTCGGCTCTAACAAGGGGAAGAAAGAGGAGCTCAACCAACTCATAGGAACATGCAAAAGTCGACTCGGAGCACTGAAAGCTATGACCTGGAATGGACATGGAGCCTCTATTACCGTCCTTAAAATGATGTACACAGCCTATGTGCGCTCCGTCATAGACTATGCCGCGCCAGTTTTATGCACCTATACTCCCTAAGCTATATTAAATGGCTTGAAAGCATACAAAATGAAGCAATGACAATCATTCTTGGAGTGCCAAGAACTGCCAAATCGTTTAATTTACGAGAGGAGCTGTCCCTCCCCAGTGTTAAAAGCAGAATTAAGGAACTGAGTGCTAAGCTTGCAATTAGGATAGCCTGAGATCCGTAATACAATGATATTGCCAAGAAAAAACCAAGTTCTGTGTTACTTACAGGAGGAAACAGGAGAAGCAAAAAATGGCATCACAGATCAGTCTGCTACCTCGAAGAACTTCACCTGCTTGAGCAAGCCCGTGAGCTCCTGCCTGTAGAGAGATTACCTCCCTGGGAGGATGAATCATGCAAGATTATCATCAATGAAATGGCAACGAAAAAATCCAATATGATACCACAAAAAATTAGGCACAAGTATCTCAGGGAAATTTATAAAGAAGCCGAAGATGAACTAGATCAAATCTATACTGACGGGTCATCTAATCCTGTCAATGGCAGGGCTGGTGCAGCATACACTGTAATCAGGAATAATGCCTTTCAACGCGGAAATGAAGAGAAAGCGCGTATTGAGAACTATGCCTCTTCAACGCAAGCGGAGCTAACTGCCATTGTTATGGCGTTAAGATTCCTTGAACGAAACACTAATGGCGCAGTGATCTGTGCTGATTCAAAAGCAGCGCTACAAAGCCTAAGTAAAAATCGGGCCGTAAATCTTGCGATAGTCGCTGAGATCAAGAGAGCTGTGAGGGTACTAACCAACCAGGGAAAAGTCGTCAAGTTTCTGTGGATCCCCTCCCATAAGTTATGGGAGGGATTCCCACATATTTACATTCCTTGGAATATGTGGGAATGAACGAGCAGATTCTGCTGGCTGCTGAAGGCGCTGAAGGAGACCATATTGAATACTACATACCCAAGACTCTGGTCCAAATTAGAGGTATTGTCAGGCAACATCACCGTGACAAGGTAACTGAGGAAAGGAAGAAAGAAACACAAATCATCGAATCTGTACGATGGTACGCCATGGTTGCAGCTGGCAATCCCAATCATTATGGACGAGGAGGAGGTGGCCGCGGGAGAGAATCAGTAATAACGAGAATCCGTCATGGATACAAATATCGGTGGAGATACGGAATGGAAACAGCAGTTGAGCAGCGGAGTTGCAAAATCTGTGATGAGAATGCCGTCTTGACCACTACCTGAGAGAATGTGAACACCTGAGAGACATTAGAAATATGTATAGAATAATAAACCCCACATTGTTTGAGTTAGGAAAATACTATTTGTCAAATATTGATACTGTTCTTAAAAGATTCCCCCATTTTGCACCCGCAAGATAACGTAAGATTTTAAAGGTTGACAGATGTTAATTTTCTTGTTTGAGGAGCTGTTCACTTGAGACAGTTAAGCAAGTCCCAGCTGTGTCTGGGTACAAGTGACAGGATGAACAACCCAGCGGGTTTTCTTCCTATTGGGGAGTGTTGTACATGCTGCTATGGCGGTGTGACCACTCACAGGATGAGTGGCGCTGCCCAATAAACTCGCCCCTCGGGGCAAAATTTAATCTCCAGAATCGTGAATGAACACACTTGTAATTGTCCTATAGTCCATGAACGACGGGATGTAGACTCATTCTACACCCGCTTTCAACGTTTTGGGCCGTCCTGGACACTTATATAAAGTCAATGAGTTCTGACCTCTTACGAAACCTGTACATCTTTCCTTAATTGTAGTGGCCTTGTTTACATTTATTAAAGAGTTTGCAAGGAAAGAACTATCACAACCCAAAGTTGTTGTTGTATGAGACCTCGTAGCGCTTCGGAGCTCATAAACTCTTTAATACATGTGAACCAAGCCGCCATGATTGAGGAAAGATGTACAGGTTTCGTAAGGAGTGGTTGATGAATTCTGTTCCCTGGTCAATGGTGTGTGTGTGTGTGTGTGTGTGTCTGTCACACTGTTGTTGTTCGCACCCACAATCAATACCAGCTTTTCTCAGTACTCTGGTAATGATCTTGACGGTTGTTTAATAAACTACTGCATCCAAGTGGTGAGGCACCAACCACCATCACCACCACCACCACAACCACCACCACCATCACTATCCAAGTGGTGAGGCACCCACCACCATCACCACCACCACCACAACCACCACCACCATCACTATCCAAGTGGTGAGGCACCCACCACCATCACCACCACCACCACAACCACCACCACCATCACTATCCAAGTGGTGAGGCACCCACCACCATCACCATCACTATCACCACCACCACTATCCAAGTGGAGAGTCACCCACCACCACTAAGTGGAGAGTCACCCACCACCACTAAGTGGAGAGTCACCCACCACCACCACCACTACTAAGTGGAGAGTCACCCACCACCACCACCCTGGTGGTAGAGCGGATGAGTAACTATGGATCATAATATTCCAGCCCACGACCCGCCCCCAACACACACCATCAACACCACAACTCCAACAATAACCCCTCCCCCTTCCCCCCTCCTCCCCCCCCACACACGAGTGTTTGTACACTTCACCAACACTCAACACCTGCGTCGGCTCTCTGAGGTACAGCCTCCAGCTCTAGTCCTCTACTGATAGAGCCGCCTACCTGCAGTGAAAACAACTGCAGATTGCAACCCTCCCAAACCATCTCCCCGACCCACTTATCAGCTGGTCCACACCAACCACACCTGACACACACACCAGGACCCACACATGTGGCCAGCCAGTCTACTGTCTCCATCCGTAATTTTCAATTAGTGGCCACGAGGCGTGAACTGATTTAATGACAGGTTTACCTTTCATGGTACACCTGTCACCAGGGCCGGCCGCTGGGGCAGGAGTCACCAGTGGTGGTGTTGTGTCGCCAGTGCCACTAAAAGGTTAATGAACAGGTGTGACGGTGCCTGGGGTGGTGGCGCCCCAGGGGTGGTGGGGCCGGGGGTGGTGGCGCCCCAGGGGTGGTGGCGCCAGGGGTGGTGGTGCCTAGGGTGGTGGCGCCGGTGGTGGTGGCGCCAGGGGTGGTGGCGCCAGGGGTGGTGGCGCCAGGGGTGGTGGCGCCAGGGGTGGTGGCGCCGGTGGTGGTGGCGCCAGGGGTGGTGGCGCCAGGGGTGGTGGCGCCGGTGGTGGTGGCGCCAGGGGTGGTGGGGCCGGGGGTGGTGGCGCCAGGGGTGGTGGTGCCTAGGGTGGTGGCGCCGGTGGTGGTGGCGCCAGGGGTGGTGGCGCCAGGGGTGGTGGCGCCAGGGGTGGTGGCGCCAGGGGTGGTGGCGCCGGTGGTGGTGGCGCCAGGGGTG